AGCTGCAAGTGATGATTTAGGTGCTGCGGGCATCAACGGCGGCGCTGCGCGGTGCATTTTCTGCTGCATCGCCGAGCTCGTAGAGGTCCTCAACTACTGGGCGTTTGTGTACGGTGCAGTCTCCGGCACGTCGTTTGTCACGTCGGTCGGACCGCGCTGCTGCTCTTCAGACGCGCGGGTTTACGCTCTCCGAGACGACCCTCGGTGTGCACGCTACCTTTAGTCCCTCACACAACCCCGAGTCACGACCACTAACGCTCCTTGCTAGACGCACCGGCCACGCCTCACGAGCGCATTATGAAATCCACCATATCTTTATAATTGCATGTAATGACTCATTTCAACAACAACAACACCAATATAGATGCTTGGTGGATGTGCATTGTTACACTGTCAATCAATGACTGTTAATACATGTTTGGGTCGAGGACAGTATTTGTCGGTTTTTCGACAGAGTGCGACTAGAGTGCGCACCTCGCGAGGAGCCCACCAAGTAGCATAGTCACACTGGTCACGGGCGTGCTGGACACTCGGGCGTTGAAGTTGATGTCGCCGCGAAAGTTGCAGCCTCCGTTGGTATTTTCGCAGTCAACGAGGACTGCGTATGTACCAGAGCTAGCAATGTTGACGCTCTTGGTGTACGACCGCGCTTTGTAGACGTCCGCGCAGTCGGCATTGACACACTCAGCAGCGACATCGCTGATGAACTTCGCGTAGTTGGTTCTATCAAAGATGGCGACGCTAAAGCTGTCGGACGCCGACGAGACCGTGGGCGTAAACACCCCCGGCTGCACGCTGTCGCAGACGAAAAGGTACGCAGCTTCTGCAGCAAAGTTGCCGGAGAAGCTGCATCCCATATAGACGGTGGGCGCTTTCGTATGGAAGTCGATTTTCGCGTTGACGGTGCAACGAGACACCAAGTTTTGGCAGCGGATCACAAAAGTGTAGGACCCCGAGCTGGTGACCACGACCGCCACAGTCTTCGATTCACTGTTGTAGATGGTAGAGCAGCCGGTGTTGAGGCACGTGCTGCTGCTGCTGCTGTTGTTGTAGCGCGCATAGTTGGATGCATCATAGGCGGAAATGCTAAACTTGTCCGAGCTGGAGCTGACTGTTGACAATAGAAAGCCCGGCTGTACGTTGTTGCATGTAAAGACAAGATCGGAGTCCATGAACCCCGTCGTGTAGCTGCCCGAGAAGCTACAGCCAGTTTCTGTAGCCAACGCGCGGCGGACTGGCACCGGCGACACCCATTGCAGTCCGTACGAGACGTGGCACGCGCCGCCGTCAGGCTTGCCGCAAACCATTACGACCGAGTAGCCACCGGACGCGGGTGCGACAACGCTCGCATTGTACGCGGTGGTCCAGTTGCTGGCGTCGGCGTTGAGAACGGCTTGGGTCGCGTCCGCCCGCACATACACTTGAAGCGCATCGCGCGCGTCAACCGACACCATGGGCGCGGTCGTGCTTGTCGGCTCCAAGCGAGCACCCATGGCCACGTCAGCACAGTAGAGCGTTACGTTGCCGACGACGTCCCCGGACGACTCCCAGACGCAAGCATGCACCGCCGTAAGAAGGACAGTTGCGGTGTAGAAAGCCGATGCGAAGAGCTTGACCATGCTTGTTGGCAAATTCAAAAATGAACAAGACACAGTCCGCTCCGAGCGAGGTGGCGCCATCGATTGCAAAGGGTATAGACGGTTGGGCGACGTGGGCTCGTAAAAATACCTCTCGACAGGTTCTATTTGGAGACCAGGGGTGAGGCCGACGATGCGATATTTCTGGCGACCTCAAATAGAATGAGCGGCTTGCAGTGGCGTGTGGGACGACACGCCTTTGATCCACATATATATATATCGCATTTCACGCTGGCAAGGATGAAGCACCCTTGCGGCCGGGCACATCACGAAGGATTCGCTCTACGACGTCCGCTCCACGATACGTCTCCTCCAAATACGGTGTTATCAACACTTGTGTGGTATGACATAGGTGAGCTGGTAGTTGAGGACCTCGACGAGCTCGGCGATGCAGCAGAAAATGCACCGCGCAGCGCACCCAAAACATCACTTGCAGCTCTTTTTCGAGATGCAGAGACGAGTACCTTGCGCAAGGTCTCAAAGATGGCGACGACGAGCGAGCCAAGACAAATGGACCCGAGCGATGTCGTGAGGCTCCGCGTGAGTGCGGGGCACGTGTGTGTGCGCACCAGACGTCGCGCACCACCAACCAGCGACGCTGCCGGCGACCTCCGTGTGGTTGATGTTCTTGATGACGTGCAAGGCAGAATGAGAATAGAAAGTGAGGACACTGCGATCGGCGAACCTCGATACCCCAGAGCAGAGAGAGACACCTCGAGATGCAAGCGACCTCATCATACTCAATGTTGACCAAGACACCGAGGGGCGCAATGATCCTGTCGTATCCACGTGGCAACTCGTATGGAAGGGGATCATACCAGAGCAGCATTCAGTCGAGCTGCACACACAGCAAACACAGCGTGACGGGGATCAAGCCGGGCAGGCTCCACACCGCGGCGGCGACCTTCAAGTTGGCGGCTGCAAACGGAACGTGACGGCGAATGCCGTGCAAGTAGCTACATAGCAAACTATCTCTTGAAGAAGAGACATACTAGAGTATGCTCGTACAGAGATAGAGGAGCGTCAGAATGACACCGAACGCTGCGATAATGGACTCGTTCAAGAGCAAATCGACGACAGCGATGCCGACAAGGACGGCCAAGTCGAAGCTACAACACCACGTCAGACAAGGCAACATGTACATGGACATCTACAGCAAGGTGCACACGATAATGGAGGTCGGGAAGAAGAGCACGAGCAGCTGCATAAAGGCTGCAATCGCGATTGCGAGGCCCGAGCGCGCGACCAGCAACCCGAGCGCGTCGTTGGCAGTCGTCGCGTCGAACGAGCGCTCGAACGGATTGACAATACGGTGGAGGACGGGTCATTGCTGCGCCAAGCGGCAAATGAGAATGACGTTGCAGGAAACGAGCAGAACGAACGGCCAATCGCGGTATCGACCGCATCCAGTGGTAGGCGGCGGTGTGAAGAGTACATAAATAGTTATTTATGTATCCTTGCTGCAAGGGACGCGATCTTGCCGTATGTCTTGTCCATGGTCGGCGGGTCCATGGACGCCTCGAGCGACATAGGTGAGTGAAGCATGTGCATCGATTTCGGTGGGTATCGCACACGACTGATCTGTAGGAACGCCGTTGTATCGGTTTCGCATCGGTCGGTGCACTGGTGTCTGAAATAGGCAACATCCCTACCCCTATAAGTCGCGCGCCATTTTGCTTTGCCAATAGTTTCGAATTTTGGATGAGATATATTCGATGCGTACCAGCAATGGTGGTTGCAAGTGTCCCGCATCTTAACCCGACAAGGATCCATGACATTTTTAAACGGATTATAAGTGTGTTGTAAAGCCGAACTGCACGCCAAATAACCTATGAAATCGTAGCCAAGACGATGAGGAACGAAAATATAGCTTGATCTCTTCCGTAGCGTGTCTAGTTGTCAAGAAGTTAACGCTCAAAGGCAGACCATTTACAGTGGGGAGGGCCCGACAATGTCCACCTCACACCATCGTTATCCGTACAACACCCTTATTATCCGGATGGTATACCCCGGGCAATGAGGTCATGGTCGTGGTCGGTTTCGAGATGACTTGCACCTGCGCCGCGCCCTGGCAGCGCCCAAGGCCAAGCGACAAGCTCTTGCGCAGGGCTGTGTTGACACACCAAGTGTCGATGGGATCGTCAGTAGGCAAAAAGAAGTTGAGGAGAGCGACTGTGGCGAAGACAAGGAAGACGATTGTGCACACAACCCGTGCGCCCTTGATCCACCACATTTACACCAACCAAGCCTATTCATTAGGACAACCAGCCCGATGTGTACGCCGTCGACGACGGGCTCGATCTATGGGGCGAACTCGATGCGTGGGGTGATGTTGCACAGCCAATGATCGTGTCCAAGGTCACAGCGGCTTCATCCTTGGGTCTTTCGTACCCCAAAGACATCAACGATTTGCGAAAGGCATGGAGCAGTGGCAAGAAGACACTGCAACGTGAACGGAAGCGCAAGGAGGACAACGTCAAACTCGTCGCCAAGTTGGGCCACAAGACGCTCTGGGACCTCTGGGGCCGGTCCAAACCCGTGCCTGAGCTTGATTCAGTGACCCAAGAACGCCCAAGTGCCTTCTCCTGATCCTTCGCGAACGTGAGATTCTTGGCCCTACCGAGACGATGCGTGGGCTGTACAACGGAAGAGCCGTACTCGTGCTGTGCTGTCAACTTGGTCGACCATCAACCCGACTTTGCGGCCCAGAAGTCGATGCTCGAAGAGGTGTTTGAAGGTACCGACCACGTGATGGACCTCTTCCCCAAGTTCCATTCCGAGTTTAACCCGATTGAAACCTATTGAGGAAGCGCCAAGGCCTACTGCCGTCAACACTGCGACTACACGTTCAAGAGCCTACGCGAAACGGTGCCAGCAGCTCTTGTTCAAGTCCCTCTGCAACATGTTCAGCGCTTTGAGCGTCGTTGTCATTGGTGTACGAAGCCGGCCTACCACCGCATCTTGCAGAGTTCGCTGTCAAGAAGTACAAATCTCATCGCTCGATTCCGTCGGAAGACCTTATGGGGCTAATGGAGGCTGAATTTGCCGCTAGAAAACACTAAAATTGACTAAGTTTTGTTGCGCTCTCTTGCTTGTCTTCGCAGGGCGTTTGGGGCATCCTAACGGCGCTAGCCTCGATATTACATAAGGTATGGAGACAATTTCAAAACATTTTTGTCCACTTGAGCACCCCTTTGTCGGGTTGAGATGCGGGCCACTATATTTAGAGAGATGTGAGCCCTAACCCCACGTCCCTTCAACGCGACGGTTCTGCATCAATCCTAAGAATATCCACACTCGAACCGCCTACCTAGAACGATTCTGCCCTGAACGACACGAGAACCCAGTCTGCAATTTGCCTCGCCTCAAACACCATGAAACTTGTCTGCGCTGCGACGGTGGCGCTCATGCTGGCAACGTCCGCGACCGCTGCGTGGTGCACGGCAGACCAAGATACGGAGATCAACAACTTTTTGGCGGCCAACGTCTCGACCTCGTGCGCTGAGAGCAGCGTCGGTTTGGGCTATGTGACGTTCGCGGATGGACTCGACTACAAACAATACGACATGTGCCAGCCGCCGTGCCAAGACGACTTGCAGAACCTCACGAGCAGCATTCCAAACTGCACCGATGACGCCGGGACACACGCCAAGGTCGCGCAACAAAATCAACTGTGCACTGACATGACGCGTCCAACGATCAACGGTGGCGCGTGCACGACGGCCGACACGATCTTGTTCAACGGATTGCTGTACAAAGAACCGGTGTGGCTCAACTGCTCCAGTGCCACGAACGCAGACTTGTACTCCGTTCGAGCTTACACCACCAATGAGGCCAATGCGCTGTGTGCGTCCTCCACCTGCTCGGCCTTTATCAACGCGATGGCCAACTTGATACCCAACTGCGTCGACAAGAACGGGGAGAACACGATGGACGAATTCCAAGCTCAATTTGGATGCACGCCCGCGGCAGTCGGGGCCTATTGCTCCATGGTTGATTATGCGGTTGCGAACGATGCATACGCCAGTGGGCTTTGGTCCAACTGCACGACGATGCTCGAGAGTACAGATCCCGGCTATACAAGTAGTTGGACGCTCGAAGTCCTTGAATCCATGCTCGACAAAAGCGCTGACTCACCAGAAGACGTGCCGTCGGGCTTTTGCGCGTCGACCTGCCCAGCAAACTACTTGTCGATGAAAAAGACGTTTCCATCCTGCACCTCTCTCAAGATTGGCGACGCACTTTCCGACCCAAGTCCTCTCTACCGCATTTGCCCCAGCCTGGAGCCAGCGCCGTCATCCGCTCCGACGTCCTGCACGGCATACCAAAATGCGACGATCTACAACTTTTTGGCGGCCAACGTCTCGACCTCGTGCATTGCGAGCATATCCAGCTGGCGGAGCTCGATGACGTTCGCGGATGCACTCGACTACAAACAATACGACATGTGCCAGCCGCCGTGCCTGTCCGACCTGCAGAACCTCACGCGCAGCATTCCAAACTGCACCGATGACGCCGGGACACACGCCAAGGTCGTCAAACAAAACCAGCTCTGCGCCAACATCACCGTGACGCGTCCAACGACCAACGGTGGTGCGTGCACGTCGGCCGACTCGACCTTAGCACGCAAAGTGCTGGACGACGAACCGGTGTGGCTCAATTGCTCCAGCGTCTTCGGCAGTGTAAACGCCAGATCGTCCCATCTGACAGCTTACACCACCAAAGACGCCAAGGCGTTGTGTGACTCCGCTGCCTGCACGGCCTTTTTCAACTCGATCGCCAAGTTGATGCCCAACTGCGTCGACGAGTACGGACGCAAGACGATGGACCAATTCAGACATCGGTTTGGGTGCACGCCGGCGGCAGTCGGGGCCAATTGCTCCATGGTGGATATGGCCGTCAAGCGCGAAGCATATCGAACGTACCTTTGGTCCAACTGCTCGATGCGTTACGATGTCAAGACGTTCGGCGAACTCGACCACAATGTCACTTACGCCATGACACCAGAAAACTTGCCATCGGGCTTTTGCGCATCGGCCTGCCCAGCAAACTACTTGTCGATCAAGAAGACGCTTCCATCCTGCACCTCTATCTATAGTGGCGATATATTTCCCGACCCCAGTCCTCTCTACCGCATCTGCCCCAGCCTGGAGCTATCGCCGACGCCCGCTCCACCACCCGCTCCGACACCCGCTCAGACAGCAGCTCCGACACGCGCTCCGACACCTGCGCCAACGCCCGCTGTAGCTCTGACCTGCCCTCTTTCTGGCTCGTACCGCGCGACGGGGATGCGCATGGACCTTGCCACCTCTGGGGATTTCACCGAGTCGCACGATGGCAGCGGCAACACGTGCTCGACGAAGGGAACGTATGCGGTCTCGGGTCCAATGGCAACTTTCACCGTGTCGACCGTCACGGGTGTCTGCGGCAGCGCCTTTACGCCCAACGCAAAGCTCTCGGGCCCCATTTCGTTCTCCACCGACTGCCAGCAACTCACACTCAGCTACACGGGCACCACGTCGACGCTGCAGCGAACGTCCAACGCAGAAACCGCGGCCACGAGTGCGATGCTGCTTCTTGGCGTTTTCCTCGCGTGGGGTACGCTCTAAACGGCCAATGCGATGGCTCTTGCATGTTAGATTTTATACCTACAGTAAGACTGAAAAATACACTGGATTTGCACATTCAACATCGCGTTCGATCCCACTAGAACTCACTTTCATGATGTCTGCGCATTCGAGTCATTTATAAGAGACACCCAGAGAAAAACGGCCGCCCCAAAATTGGATCGATCCACACATCTACAGCGTCTTCCCATCTATCCATCGACCGGTATCGTGTACTAGTAGAGGGTCGATCCTGGGGCCGGTGCAGGGGTATTATGTATTAATACCCCTGGGTCGGTGTGGGCGAAACGCCCGTTGGGCTGCCACGTGCGTTTCCGCGGGCAACGACGCCATTTGATTGGCTCCCGCCTCCTACTTCTCCCTGATTGGCCAATATACTCGACACCCGCGCCGTGCAATTGGTGTTCATTCGCCAACTCGGTGACCCAGGATCAAGCTCGAGCCCGGCCTCGACGAGCGCTTCGCCTACGACGACGACGATGACAGCAGCATGGAGACGCTCCTCGTCGCGCCGGTCTTGGCCGACACGACGCTTGCCGGCTTGGCGGCCTTCCGCGATGCCCGCGCGCGCTACGAGGTCGCGTGCGAAGCCAAGGCATGTGGCAGTCGATCCTAGCGACGATCGCGCCGCCGACGCTGCGGCTCCTCGCGCAATACATGATGTGCATGGCGAGGCAGCGATCACCGACGCCGACATCCTCGCCTGGATCGAGCGCGAGCTGGCAGAGACGACGCCAACGTCGATCGAGGCGATCGTGCAGCACTACCGCGCGCACCTCGTCATGGACATGCGCATTCCCGACGCCCGCGCGCGCGTCGCAACTCGCTTTATGCGCGCCAACGAGATGGCCACCAACGTTCGCTTCGCCGGTGCCAACCTTTTTTGCGCCATGCTGGTCGAAGGCGTGCGACCTCGTGCGACATCGAGCTCGTTTTGCACGTCCCATCCAACGCTCACGCCAAGTGCGACGACCGGCGTCTCTTTAACCTCGTGGAATCTTGTGCAATCGCGCACCAGGCACGGTTCCCATGCCGCCGCCGCAACGTGCCAGGACGCAGCTTCCAACTGTTGCGCACCACCGACGATATAGCGTAGCGGCCACCCGACGTGCTTTTTCTGTGGCTGCATAGACGAAGTAGGCGATGACTGTATAGATCCTACGCCAGATCTTGTGGTACGCCACGTGGCATACGTCGTCGGCGTCGAGGTCATCGAGCGTCTTCAGTGTCGTCTTGACGCGTCCTCTGTCATCCTTGGGCGCCTTGGTATGGGTTATTGCAAGCAGAAGCGAATGCCACGGTGTTGACGACTTTGGCGGGACGCCCTATAGACGTTGCGCCACGTGTCCTTCTGATTGATTGATTGATTGATTGATTGATTGATTGATTGATTGATGGATTGATCGATTGATGGATTGATGGATTGCCTTCGCGCGTTCCTGCTTGGTTGTAATAGGGAAGATGCCGCGCAGGTTGGCACCTCGTGGATGTTTGAGACGACGCTGGCGCAAGCTATCCCACGATGCTGGGACTCGCACGGCTGTTGTTGGTGAACCAAGTCGTTACATGCAATTATAAAGATATGGTGGACTTCCTACTGCGCTCGTGAGGCGTGGCCGGTACGTCAAGCGAGGAGCGTTAGTGGTCGTGATGCGGGGTTATGCGAGGGTAGCGTGCACACCAAGGGTCGTCTTGGAGAGCGGCCAGCGACGTGTCAAGCGATGGCACCACAGCTCGACGAGCCAAGTGCCGGATATGCAGTCGTGCGGTAGTTGCTGCCCGGATCGCGAGCGCAGCAGCGGCAAGTTGCGTCAGCGTCGTGCAAAAGACACGGTTGTTGTTGCGTTCCAGCCAAAGACAATTACACCAGACGCAAGCGCGTAAGATCGGCCAGAGGGCATGAATGGACGACTTGTGGGCCGAGTACGGCGCGGCGACGTCGTCGTAGAGAAAGACAGCGACCGACGACGGGAGTTGCATCTGCAAAATGCCCCGCATCGGTGCAAAAGCGCACCAAAAGATGATCGTACGTTTCACGGGCATGCACATCGCAGAGAAATCAGTGCCGAGCATCGTGGCCGAGAAAGTGCAAGCTGGCTCGGACGGCCGCGGCTTTTAGCGCAACCCAGTATACGAAGTCACCGTATCGCGGAAGGACGTGGGCTGGCTGCCGTAGAGGTACAAATGAGGGCCCGGGTGCTCGTAGAAGGTCTCTGGGACGCCAAGGTGTTGCACTGGAAGCACACGCCAGTCAAATTTCGGTCGCTGTCAGAAGCCGGTCAGTCGGACGTACATAGTCGCCACGAGGACGACGCGGGGTCCGAACTTGACGAGCCATGGCGAGGCACTGGTTGAGCGCACGTCATGATCGGCAGGCGAGATGAGCTGGAAGCATCCAACGAGAGCGGTCGCGAGCAGCCGGATCCAACGGCGGGTTTGCTACAGCGCTGGAAATAGTCATGGTAGATGTTCTTCGAGGTCGGCGACCGTGTGTCCAAGGGCTTGGAAACTGTCTACGTGCGTGTAATCTTGAGCGACGACAGTCTTGATGTGCGAGTAGCAATCTTTCGCGAGCCACTTGAGCTTGCAAGAGGCGCGTTATGCCAGAGCGGAAGACGATGAAGCACGAGCGGGCGAGGCGAGCCATGCATGGTGTAGACGTGCCTGTTAGTTGGCGTAGCCATGCCTCGACAAAACATAGCGACGTCGAGCGGATGCGCGATTTCCAGAGGTCGCACGCGTGCGAGAGACCGAGGCCGCCATGGCGCTTGGCCAAGAAGACAAGATGTTGAGAGCAACATGCCGATGCGTCCGACGTCGAACGAGCGTGAGCGGTTCGTCGTGGGTGTACTGGAGCTCGAGCCGATCGACTTGAGGAGCGAGCGAGGCGTCGGGAGGAACCCACGTGAGCTGATATCAAAAGACTGGCAGGCAGACGCACGATGCCTACTTTACCATCGAGCGAGCGCGTTTGGTGCGACAAAAGCTGGAGACAGTCGCAAAACTTCTGGAGCGCGTAGTTGTAATAACGGGCGTGCGGAGCGAGGTTCGGCGCGACCAAGATGCCGAGCGCTTTTGCAGGCGTGACAACGCGTCCCGGAAGATAGCGGGGTCCGCCGCCAAACATGAGCAGCTCGGTTTTGTCGCGATTGAGCTTGAAGCTAGAATAAGAGCACACCGTGTCGACGAGAGCGAGTTGTCGAGCCAGAGACGGTGCATCTCGGGCTGTTTTTCGTGGGCCACAATGGATGCCACCCGACCCGTAGGCGGTTGGCGCCATTTTTAGTTTGCTTCTCCGTGACTTTTGTAGCGGTTTGTATGGCGATGCCCCCGCGATATTTCCAGAGGTAATAATATTAGGCGGCACCCTTTCCTAACGGATGGCCGCCTTTTCCCAACTTGCCCTAAACCTTTTCTCGTACACAGCTATGAATACGACACAGTTTGCGCCAACCATCATGTTCAAACCTTTTGCCAGCACGACGCACAACACGTTTTGCTGGCCCTCGACCATATATGAAAGTATATGACCCCACCACCGTGTGTCTCGCGTTGACGGCTGCCACGACCGTGATGGCCGCGGCCTGCACCAGTGACCAGCAGTGGATGACAAGCGCACTCTGGAACACCAACGTCTCGGCCGCGTGCGCTGCGACGTTTGACACCGCGGCGAAAACCATGATGAATGCCATCGATATCCAGAACCGATACCAGATCTGTCAGGCACCGTGCAGCGCAGACCTCGTGAGCCTCATGACCAACCTCCCCGTCTGCGACGACAATGCGAGCATTCTGCCCATCATCGCGCAGATCGGTCAGTCGTGCGCTACGACGAACGGTGCGTGGTGCACGTCGGTGGACGACGCCTTGTTTAACATCGCGCTATCCACGCCGGCGTGGGCCAACTGCACGAGCGCGCTCGGCGCCACCTTGCTCTCGCTCGCGCCAGAGGATATCGCATCCGCGTATACGCTCTGTGGCTCTGCCACGTGCAGGGCTTTTATCGCGTCGGTGGCCGACACGCTGCCCAACTGCTGGATGACGAGTGGGACCAACACGAGAACTCTATTCCAGCAAGTCTTTGGTTGCACGCCGGCGACCATGGGTGGGCCGTGTACCATGATTGACCAATATGGCGCGCAATCCACGATGCAAGCGTCGACCGTTTGGTCCAACTGCTCGAATGTCCTCGGTTGGCCAACGTCGTTTCAGATCGTCGCGCGCCACCTTGCGAGCCCTCCGTCCGGGTTTTGCCAGTCGCCTTGTCCGCGGTATCTCTTGTCCGTGCTTCGCGCACTGCCGCATTGCACGGTCGAAGGTGGCCAATTCATTGACGACCTGATGCCAGTCTACTCCACCTGTCCCGACGTGCTTACGACGGTGGCGCCAACGCTTCCGTCGTCGCAAAATGGGTCCATCATGCCACCGATCACGAGCTCGTCCATGGCGGTTCGTAGCACATGCAATTTCAAGTCGAGCTCTGTCCAGACGACGCCATCAGCACCGTATCTTGTGATTGCGTGCAACAATACGGTCGCATACACAAGTACAGGGCGGCAGTACGTCAAATCGGTTTGGGACAACGACACGTTTTACGCGTACTCTACGGACACGACGGATCCCACGTATTATTTCAAGGGCTCCCAAACCCTCTATATTCGCCCGCCCTCTGCCTACTACAACGCGAGCATCCTTCTTACACCGGCATTGGTGCTCTACTGCGCCAACAACTACCGCGTGCCATGCAACTTTTATATCGAGTTCAATTTGCCGACGCTCGCCCCAACGCCCACTCCGACACGCACTCCGACACCTGCGCCAACGCCCGCGCCAGCTCTGACCTGCCCTATTTCTGGCTCGTACCGTGCGACGGGGATGCGCATGGACCTTGCCACCTCTGGGGATTTCACCGAGTCGCACGATGGCAGCGGCAATACATGCTTGACGAAGGGAACGTATGCGGTCTCGGGTCCAATGGCAACTTTCACCGTGTCGACCGTCTCGGGTGTCTGCGGCAGCGCCTTTACGCCCAACGCAAAGCTCTCGGGCCCATTTCGTTCTCCACCGACTGCCAGCAACTCACACTCAGCTACACGGGCACACCGTCGACGCTGCAGCGAACGTCCAACGCAGAGACCGCGGCCACGAG